CACCGAGAGCTTCAATGGCCGGAGGTGTTTTTTCTCGTTCCGTTCATTTCAATTCCGCATTGATCTAATTGCCATTTAGGATCCTTATGAGCACGTTTAGATCATTTAGAAATTCTAACATTGTAAGCGAGTTTTTTCGTAGGTACATGAAGCCTAATATTCATGCGGAAAGAAACTTCTTTTATGCTTTAAAATGATATTTAGTGTTGGAACATGATAAATCGAATTCAATACTAAGATGAAAAGTAAATGTTATGTGCTATTATTTGTGGCAATGGAATTCATATATGTAGGACACATGATAGGGACGGCCATTACATTTCCCTGAAGTTGGGTGTACGGGATTATGTGTGTTAATACTTGTATGGTTGCAAAAGAAGATATATTGTTTATATTGTTTTGTCTCTGTTGCATGAACGTTATGGAAACAAATCTTTCATAACGAGGATATAATTGTCTTTAAGGCCCCGTTCACTTCACCAATTCGAGTTTAGAATTCGAGTTTTGCTACAGTAAAAAACTCTCACAAACAATCACATCTAACTTTTTTGTTACAGTAAAAAGTTCTCACATAAAATCACATCTCAACTCGAATTACAAACTCGAATCAGCAAAGTGAACGGGCAAATATATATATATGACAGTAGATATTTTTATAAATAAACAAAAAAGTAAGCATTTTTTAAAATAAGGTATTCATAGTCGGCATTTATGTAAATAGCGAATAGCCCGTTGATAAATAACCTCAAAAAATCTAGAGCATGAAAATGTCAAAATTTTTAAAGGGAAATTATGTTGGGTGGCCTTTTTTAACCACTAAATTTCATAAATAGCCGAATTTTTATTTTATTTTATGAGAATGATCGTTTTGTTTACATGAGTCAATCAGTGATTGACATATAGACCACAATAAATTAGTGACTGACCTACAATTAATTATAATTGATTGATTCATTATTAATTTATTAATAATTTATCATTAATAAATACATAATTTATTAATTGAAATTGATTAATTATTAGTTGATTTTGATTAATTATTAATTAATATTGATTAATAATAAAGAATAATCAAATCAATCAGTGATAAATTAGAGTTAATCACGATTGACCGTTAAGTCAATCAATAATTAACTACTGAACTAATTAATAATTGACCACTAAATTAATAAAAATGACTATTTTTATAATTTTATAAAACTTCAACTATTTATAAAAAAATATGGTAAAAAAAAATCATTTGTGCCGAAATCTTATTTCTAAAAAAGAAACAAAATGAGAGAGAGGGGGAAGAATTACATGGAGGGCGGCAAAGGGAGTAAAAAGGATTGGGAATTTGGAGGGAAACACAACCAATCTCATTCATTTCTCTCACCTTCTGTCTTTCTTTCTCTATCTCTCTCTCAATGGCTCAAATTGAAACCCTAGGCATACTTCAGGACATCGAATCCCTCGTCTCTGATCGGCTTCAAGTGGTACCAATCTCTCTCTCTCTCTCT